CCACCACCGCGACCACCACCACCGCCACCACCACCACCGCCGCCACCACCACCACCACCGCCACCACCACCCCCACCCCCACCACCACCACCACCCCCACCCCCACCACCACCACCACCACCACCACCACCACCACCACCACCACCACCACCACCACCACCACCACCTTCCCTCGCTTTCCCCATTCCTCGGCTCCTGCAGCTCCTGATTGGGAAAACGTGAGGTCAATGGCAGAGAGCCCTGGCCCTGGGCTTCCACGGCGGCTTGGTGGGCGGCATGGCCGGGGCCAGAGAGCTGCGGGGATCTTCGAGTGAGGGAGCGCTGTGAAAGAGGTTCGTCAGCACGATGCTTCCACCAACAAACAAGGCTGCCCGAAGCATGGAGCCGGGACAGCCCAAAGGTCAAGAAATAGGAGCTTGTAGCCAACGACAGGGTGCGAGCGACTGGAGCGGAAGTGAACGAAGCCGCTATCGACCCCTGGCCATACCGACTACTCGGCCCTCAACCAAAAAGCGTGGATTGAAGGGCAGCGGGTAATGACCCCGAGGCTGCTGCGATGGCCTCGGAGCGAAGTGCAGGTCCACACCCGGCCGCTGCCACCCGGAGGCAGGGAGAGGAAGACTTGGCATGCAGGGATAGTCGCGACGGATGAAAGTCCTGCTGAAAAATCGAGATTCCAAGAGACTGTGAAGCTGTCTCGGGAGTCCTTGCACTTTGGAGGCTTCTGGCCCAACAGCTTTGGAGCTTCCTGCTCAACGACGCGCTCTGGCCAGCTGGCCTCCCCGGCGGCCCCAAAGCAACGAGCATCTGCATCACGAGGTCTCCACATTGTCCCTGTCTCTGACCCTGAGGGAGGAGCGCCGGAGCTTCGGAGGCGGCAAGATGCCGGGCCGGGCCGAACCGCTTGCGGCTTGCACTGTTCTCCCTTTGGCGCAGGTGCCGCGGGCAATGCTAGCTTCGGAGCGAGTATGCTCTGCCGATGCCTCGGGCAGCCAGGAACCAGCTGACCAGAAGGAATCTCCGCGAAGCTGCTTGCGTTGGTCAGGTGGCAGTCATAGCCAGCAGCGAGGATTTCCAGGTGGGCGCAGGGATGTCATTTGCTGAAGACAAGCAATACACGACGTTCTAATCACCAGAGTCACTACACTATATGCGTCATGAAGGGAGCAGGATAATCCATGTCAAAGGTAGACTAATGCTCATTCGCAGTTGCATGGTGCTAGGAAGAAGAATGGCAGTATGGTGGTTGCTCTTTTGCAGTCTCGCTTTGTATGTTGGATAAATGTGCAACAGAACTTGCCCCTGAACCAGGCAGGTGCAGCAGCGGTCTTAGCCACCAAGCAGGCTTACTCGCCGCTTCTTGCAAGGTGCATCGGGCATATGGCACGTCCTGTTTCCTGACTCCCGCTGCTCTTTTCTTCTGTGTTCCTTTTCTCTTACGCTCTGCAAGGTTGATGGCATGCCGAAACCTCCCTGCAACAGGCTCTTTGCAGGCACTGTGCGCTCTGCTGGGACTTGGGGACGTCTCAGCCCGCGACCCCCACCTGCTCCAGGTGGCACACGATGCCTGGCTGCGCCTTGCAGATGGCTTTGGGCCATGGCGGGGCAAGACGGCCGTGACGGAATTGGGTCTCCGAAGTGTCGGCCGAAGTCTCACTGTGAGCAGACAAAAAGAAAAGTGTGCTGCTGCACCCGAAGCAAGTACGCAAGAGGAAGACAGGCTCGGGGAAGCTTTCAGCATGCATGGTGCGAGCTTTGCATGCCTGTGCGAAGCAATGATGCAATTGTCTTGAGCAGCTATTACTGGCCCTGCTTGCAGGGAGTTGCAAGGCACACCGTGGGCTAACTACAAAGGACTTTAGTTCTGCGATGCAGCGCGCATCCAACGTCAATAGGCGCCATGCGGCCCGAGTTGGTTTCCTTGCGGCGGCCATCCTCTGGCTGAGCGCAAGCATGACGAGCAAACCTGATGGCATCGACTTCGTCGCATGGCACCAGCGTAGCATGCAGCTGCCTTCCGGGACCCAGCGTCGGGCATCCGGCGCTGCAGAATGGGTCGTTCCCGACTGGTTTTCCCTGGGCCGAAAATTTTTCAAATTTTCGGCCCAGGGAAACCAGTCGGGAACGACCCATTCTGCAAATTTTCGGCCCAGGGAAACCAGTCGGAGCGATTTCCGCATCGTTTCCTTCGATGCAGCGGTCCATGACTATGGAGGAGTTTGCAGAGATGAACGACGAGCTTGCGAACATGCGAGCTCGGCTGAAAGCTGCGCGACAGCGTGAACAAGCGGCCAATGCAGCATTGCCAGAGCTGGAGCAGGAGATGGAAGACGAAAGGGCTGGAGATGGAAGCGGAGATGGCGTCCCTGACCCGGCGAGCAGCAGCCTTGGGTCATGACCCGGAGCGACGATGACAGCCGCAGCTTGCGCCAAAGAGCGCAGCTGCGTCAAGACTGTCAAGACGCATCAACAACACGCAAAAAAGCCTAGCACTCCAACCGGATCTGCTGCTGTTGGTTCCACCGCCGAAAAGCGCCCAGCTTGTGCGATGCAAGTCTTAGCCGCAGTCTCTGAGGTGATGTTGCCTAGCATGCACAAGCCATTCGAGGGCAAAGTGCTGCGGCACTGTTCTGCGGGACGTTGCTTGCG